AAAAATTATAAACTTGGAACACTTTATGCCACAAGAAGATAATATACAGCAATAACGCTGCGTTTTTACTACAATATTACCACACTAATACCTACGTTACGCGCTGATAAGTAATGATACTGATTACGTTAAATTGTATATAATTTTATTTTTATAGCTTTATAAATCATAGGTACATACCTAATAATATATATATTTTTTTTTGATCTTAACCATCGGCAGTTATGGTCATTAGCATTTGGAGAGGGTTACGGTTGGTTGAGGAACAGGTGTATGTGAGGCGAGGATTCGTCACTAAAAACCCGGGTGGTCACCCATCTGGAAACTAGCGACATCGGTCGATGCTTGACCTCAGAGCACGTTAGTGAGTGAGGCCAACCACCGAGCCACACAAGGCCTCTATATATAACATGGTATAATATTTTTTCAAGACATCGTCATGTTTAATATAATATTATACAAATAATATTATATAATAAATATAATAATATTTAAAGTATTATTTTATTGTTTAATATACATATTTTGTTTAGGTTAAATATAAATCTGAGTTAACAAAATATATCCCTGCGTAGTGCATTGAAGTAATAAAAAATAAAGTACAAGCCACATGTCTGTAGTAGGTATAATATTATTTAAAAGAAGTCGAGCGAATAAAGCGTTATGAAATATTATGTACAAATTGTAGAAAACATTAAGTAAAAAACGCAAACATGAAATTTAAAAGACATTTAAATATTAAATTTTAACCAAAATATCGTACGTCTACGCAAAATAAATATTTCCTCCTGAATTCGTTTTGATAAATAAAACGGTCGTGTGTTTTCCAGATTCACTGTAAAAAGTATTTTTTAAAATTTAAAAAACATGAAGATATATATTACGATAACGGTTTGCAAATATCTGAGAGTGAACTATAATATATATTAATTTCACTGCTTGAGTGTCGTATGCAGAAAAAGTGTCATCATAAATCGCCAATCGGTACTTATTAGGTTCCATTGATCGTCTTAAAATGTTGTCTTTAATTCGTTTTAAAATTAATTGACTTAATACAAGAGATTCAAAACCATTTTATCCAATATTTTTAAATACAATAATATTTTAAGCTACCCAGCTGATAACTTCTTAATCTAATTCCTGGTAATACATATATTTTCGATTGATAGTTATTTATTTACTTTATTTGAATGATAAATTTTCTTTTTAAAAACTGGTAATAATAATTGATACCTAGTTGGTTATAACAATTTTTCAAGTTCAAACCAGTAACATTTGATAAAATTATAGTAGGTTCCTATATTTGATTTAACTAAAGTCTAAATTATTACGTAGGTACCTAGATAATTTAATCTGTTGAAAAACAATAATAATTAATTAATTCTTAATAGTGCCGATACTGTGACCGGGTATATTATATTAGGTACATTATTAACTTCCGAAACAATGAAATCCATTCGTAAATGCAATTTTCATGATCCTCAATTCTGAAGACAAATGATGATTTTTATATATATTCTTTTAGTATAAGCTAGGTGTTAATTTAATATGTATATAATTAGTTAGACGAATGACGTCGTAGTTACAAATAATTGAACAATAAATTTATATAACAGGTTCACTGAAAATTAAATTTTAATTATCAGAAAATTAAAATTATAAATATTCTTAGACTTATTAATTATTATTAACCCAATTTGATGCATTGTTTATGATTTATAATGTTAATTGAAATATATTTCAAAGTAGTTTTGTGCAATTAAAAAAAAAAATAAAATATTAAATTAAAGTACAAGATAATATAATAGGTAACTCAGAAACGAAAACTAAAATAATATGTTATCCAAAAATGTATTAAGGCTGCTGACTGAGTTTACTTAGAAATAAAGATAATCCAGGATTTTTTAAACAATTTACTTGGTTCGTACAAAATATTTTTTAAATCATTTTTTTAATTTAAATACTCTTATAATTCAAAATATTTTTAGTTATACTTCTTTATTCAAATGTTATTTATTTATTTTTTAATTACCACTGGGCTTACACATATTATTATACAACGATTCTGCAGCCTTCAAATTTTTAAATAATAACTAAATAAGCATCTTATATGCTAAATATAGGTACTATTCCTACTACTATTTTTACTGCATAGGTAGGCACTGGTCGTAGTGGTTTATGAAATAACACGTTTGCATCAACTTAATTATTAAGCAATGTGTATATTTTTTTTTATTTGATTATTCGTATTTACATTTTAAAACCAATGTATATTTATGTAATTACAGAGTGATTAAATTAACAATTAATTAATTAGTAATTAACTAAAGCCATTATACATAAATTAACAAGATTTTAACCAGTATTATGAAATTAATTGTAAAAGCTATAAGTTGTTTCAGTGAATTCTTTAACTAGCTAAGGTGACACTACACCATCCCTAATTTAACCATGAAAACTGTTTTGCACGGGACAAATTTACTGATATAGTACTCGCAGTAGCTTAACCTAATTTTTACCATAAGCTAGTAGGGGAACATGGGGCAAAGTGGGGTACTAGGGCAAATTGGGGACATTGTATTATCTATTTATTTAATGTAAAAAATTAATAATATTATTAGATTTATGGTTACCTTGGTCGTCTGAGATTGTGTGGTAGAAGTTTTGAATCAAACTAGCGATTATTTTGCAATTAATCAGTGAAAAACTGGTCATAGTATACCTTTTATAATTTACTTGATAATAGAATTGCATAATTTGTTATTTATATATTCAATTACTTTGCGCTTTGTTATAAATAATTTTTTTTTTTATTAAAAAGTCTATTTTGTTTGTTCTATGATTAAAGTTTTTTTTTATTTATTTTTAGGTATTTAAATAAAATAAAATCAATGGCTCTAGCTTATTTATTGTTATTAAATGTGGGAACAACCCAAATATTCTTAAAATAAAGGAAGAACTTCAGTTGATGGGTAGATTCAATGTCTATTATGTAAACAATGGCTTCATTGTATTTGCGCTGGGTTTGAAGAAAAAGATTAGAAAACCATGTTTAAATGTGAATTTTATTCCTAAAATTATTTTTATCTTTTATAACATATAAAAAGTTAAATTTATAATTTTATTTCTTTTAAGTTAAGCTATACACTTAGGTATATTAACGTTTTTTATAAATAATTTGTTGTGTTTATAAAATGAATTAAAATATATGGAATTTTTTCGTATGCCCTACTACGTATGGGGCAAAGTAGGGTAAACTGTACTTTTTATTACATCCTTTTAAACTTCCATAAAAAAAAAAAATCAAATTTTCATAAAAAATGTATCATAAATTACCATAACCTATAGATTGTGGAACAAAATTTGAAAGGAAAAATTGATTTTTAAGTGATTTACAGGTCTTCAGACATTAGCGTCCCCACTTTGCCCTAGGTATATGTTCCCCTACATATAAAAGAAATTTATGTATGTCATATTTGCGTTTTTATTTTTTTGATAACTTGATGGCAAACCGTTTAACATTAAAATTATTCATTCGTACAAATTAATTTTTTTTTGATTTTGTTTATAAAAAATGTTTGAGTTATGATATCAATAAAAAATAAAAACGTTACAACATGATAAAGTTACCTTATTTCAAAGTAGTGTGCAAATTTTATAAATTTACTGTAAATAGTGTACTCGTTACGTTTGTTTGACGCAAAATGGTTTTTCTATAAAATCTCTTTATTAGGTAACATTGTTAGTTAGTACTGATGACATGGGATCACTTTCAAAATACTTCAAATTAAAATTAAAATTTACTTAAGATTAAACACTTTAATTTTTTTTCAAAATTATTGCATTAAAGTTGCCTATATTAAACACACTGATCGCGGCTGCAGCGTCCTCTATTAAGTCATTAAATTTATTAAGTTTTCAAAAGAAAATTAACATGATAGTTAGGTTAAAAAATAAAAAAAAATGTAGCTTTAACTTATTAACTAGTTAGTTCTCAGCATTTAAATTATTATGTATATTAATTGAATGTGATTTTTAATTGGGGCCTTGAGGGTAACAATTAATGAACAGTTTATAATAACATGTATTTATCGTATTTGCACCTAATATTCTTAATTTTTGTGAACTTAAGGAACCTATATATTTCTAGGTATATATACGCTATTTGATAATTCGTTTGCAACTATTGATACTTGGGTATTTTATGAGTGTATGATCTACCTTTATGTATTCTGATGTAATTCGATAAACGAACGATCTTGAATGTAAACATATTCTGATATTCATTAAATTATAGTTTAGTTTGACAACCGTACGAATTTAACTCTAACTAGATTTAGATGCATTTATTATTTTTACATCAGTGTGATCACATTTGATCTATTCTAAGTCCAAACTAAAGGGCTTAGGGCCCGTATTACAATAGACGATACACTTCAATTACGCTTAACCCACTGATTTTACCTGCCGAATTGCGCGGTTTAACCTTAGATCAACTATTGTAAAACGGGCCCTTATTGTGACAACCAGACAAGTCGACTTTTTTTTTAAATAATTTTTCATGGGATGAAATAGAGAAAAAATGCACGAACAGTTGGCGCGACAACCATTAAGTATAAGTTATATACAAGTTTATTTATTATAGTTAATGGACTAATCGGATTTTCTATTTTCGGTGCAAGAATCTTACTATTATCTGATTTTTTCTTTTAATAACGGTTCCATTTTAACTTAATAAATAAATATAAGTACTTATATTATACCTAGAACCTATAAAGCATAATATACAATTCTACCACTGTCGAATAGTAATAGGTCTAACTTCCTTCAATTAATTATAAAAATAGTGGGAAAATCCAGATCTTAAGTTCATTAAAATAACTTGTAACTTTTTTAATTTTTTTTTAAATTATTAATGTGCAGTTTTTCGACTATCCCGCGGATGAGTTAGTCAAAAAGTGGACTTGTGTGGTCGCAGCGATGGCTTGTCGCAGACGACGTCACATTGGCGAGCTGCCTGGCTTACCTGGTAAGTTCATTGCGGTCGAGAACATGGTTGGCCGCCCCGGGTGATGGTCCTGGTGATGACCGTGGTGGTGTCCACGGGCGGCGGCTGCGGCTGCTGCAGCGGCGGCGGAAGTGACGCCGGTGCCGTTGTGGCCGTTGCCGGACGCGGCGGCCGCTGCGGCTGCGGCGGCTGACAGGTGATGTCCCATGGCCGTGTTGTAAGACCGGGCGGCCATGGACGCAGTGGGACCGAACCGGTACGCGGCGTGCGTCATTTGGCCACACGCGGTCAGGTCACCGTATCCCATGGCCGCGTGGTCCATGTTGGACGCGGCCGTGGTGGTGCCGGTCAGACCATCGAAGTTGGCTTGGTTCAGGTACGAGTAGTCCATGACGATGCGTTATCACGTACCGTTATCTCATCGGGCGGCGCGCACGTGCGTATCGACGACGATACAACGACGTACTATATAATAATATTATCTACGATACCGTGGACGATGCAACTGCTGCACTCGCGACACTGCTGCACTCGCAAAGTGTGCGTAAAAAGTTGGTCGGTAAGTATACCGGTTAGGTATATATTATAATAATGTAATTGTTATTCGGTATAGTATTTTGCTGCTGTTGATGCTGCAGGTCGAGTACGTGTGGCCCGCCAGAGCGAAATCGAGTGAGGAGGACGTCTACGGAAAACGAGGGTAGGCGGCGGCCAGAAGCAAAAACCGGCAAGTACGTAATATTATTGTATAGGTAATATGGATAATAATGATTTTATGTGCGTAAATAGGTATAATACTGATGCACCGCAGTGATGATGATATAATAATAATAATAATTTGTTCGGCGATATAGTTTCGTATTGTAACGGGCGAGAAGAGAACGGCGGAGGCGGCGGATGCGGTGGCGGACAGTAGAAGAGGACGGCGAAGACGACGACGACGGCGATGATTACGGTGGCGCGCGCGCGGCGGTTACATACGACGGTGTCGTCGGTTCCAAATCAAATGATGGCCCTGCGTAATTCAATAACTAGCCACCGCGTAGAAAAGTGCGAATAACCCACCCCCTTTATTCGGGCGGCGGCGCGCGGCGTGCCGGTCACCGCCACCGCCGCCACCGTCGCCGGAGGGGCGCGTACGGCGGCGGTGGCTTTGCGGCCCCCGGGTTGGGCGGAGCGTGCCCGGCCGACACCCTCGCCCCCGCAGCGCTATTGGTCTTGGCGCGCGCGCGCAACCCCTTGCCCTCCGCCACTACCACCGATACACGAGTCTTCCGCGCTTCACGACCGTGACCAACCCCCGGCGGAGGGTGCGTGTGCGCGGGGCGCGACGTACGCCTGTTTTTTTCCTGTATTTTTTTTTTGCTTGCGCTCGCGACGGTTGACACCACCTACCTCCGCTGCAGCGGTAAACCGACGCGCGAGCGAAAACACCCGTGTAATGTAGTATAATATTATTATATAGTTATTATTATTATTATTATTGTTATCGTTGTATTACCAGACGAATCCCTTCTTATTACACGCGCGCGCGTGTGTGTGTGTGTGTATGTATTATATACAGAAGACTATTTCCATCCCTCTTGGAAGATACATTCACTGCATCGTCTGTTTCACGCCGTTATTATATTATACCTACGGCCGCGGCAGTGCAGTGTATGCGCCAAATCCGTAGCGATTTTTTTCGTTAAAAAAATACCCCTCGTCACTTTATCATATAGGTACCTATAAGCTGCTATATATATCAGATACCTACTATATATATGTAACCGATTTTTTTGACTCTAAAATGGTAGGGATCACCTACACAAAACCCAAATGGCCGCACCATTTTTGTCACACGAAATTATTGGAATAATATAGGTAATATTCTAGATTTTCTACAACTTCTGTTGTATTATCATATGAATAAAATAAATATTGTAGGAAATAGTAATTATATGTTGTTTACATGAAACGTATATTATAATAAATACAAATATATTGTATACATAGGTAGGTATACGTATTAATTTGTGCACGAATATAATATGGTATAATAGCAGTATTAAGACATAGGTCTAAATAAATATAAGCTCTAAGTCTCTAAATTATAGACATAGCACATAAATGTATCAAATATATTTATATTGTATACAATCAACTGCGCACTATGGCCAATACACAACTAAGCATAGGTTTATAAGACCAGCGTTTGTTCACAGTTGACACAAAAACCATTCACGTTACTGGACTCCGTGATTTCGATACGGAAACCGATACCCGAGTATAGTATGATTACAGTATAGAACCTCGGTATCTCAAAGTTTCAAGGGACCGAATTAAAAATTCGACGTAATGAAACTTCACGTTTCCGAGATGATTCAAAATATTTATCAAATTTGAAATAAAGATGTTTAACTTTTGAGTGTGTCGTATTAGCCACGAAAAGGATTGGCGTATATAACAGATATATTTCGGTTGCTGATCCCCAAACCGTCAAACGATTAGATTATTGATACCAGCTGTAAAACCTTATTTAAATTCTCCTTTTAGTAACCACGATAACGAGTCAAAAGGATAATTCAACAAGGGCCAAAGGGATTTACACTATACAACTCTAAGGTTACTTTACTCTAGAACAACTGACCACGATAACACGAGTACTGGATGTTCAAAGGTAAGATCTCTTTAACCTAAACAAAGTTTTACTCTTTCTCAACTGATCACGATAACGAGTACTGGATAAGAAAGTAAGTATAACAGTGTTCTCGTCTACCTTTAAAAGTGGTTTTCCACACTTGGTTAAAAATAAATTTAAATATAATAAAAGATATCCAAAAAAACTAACAATTAAAATGTAAAAGACTGGTCGTTAGCTACGACACTTTGCTAATGAATCGAACAGTTGCGCTCTGTCGCAGACGTCACCTTATGTAGTCGTTGCATTCTGATGACTCGGTTTCATTGACGTCTGCTTCGTATGCAATCATAATTTGTTATTTTAATATTATATATTTATATATATTTTATATTATATTATTATACTTTTATTATAATGAACGTTTTTTTTTTTGTTATGTATATATATATATACAACAAATGAAATTCGATCGGGATTGAATAAAAAATTCGAGATACCGGAGTTTGAGATATCGAGATTCCACTGTTTATTATTAAATTGTTTTCTATATATTACCAGATGAATACTTTCTTAAATTTATATATCGTGTGTGTGTGTGTATGCATGTATTATAGTAGAGTAGATGACTATATTCACATCTCTCTATTGAGACTTGGAAGACGCAAGCTTCACAGCATCGTCTGTTTTTCGCCGTTTTTAATATATTATATTATAGATACATACGGCGATGTATGTGTCAAATCCCTAGCTATTTTTTACGTTAAAAAATACCCTCATCACACCACCAAATATCATATTATATATCCAATTTTTTTGACTCCAAGATGGCGGATATCGCGTAAGCGCCCATACATAATAACCGCTAACCGCATCAATTTTGTCACATGAAATTTGGAAGACTCTGCAGTCACATTATAAATAATATTATAGTACCTATTTGATATTTCTACAACTGTTCATAAGTATAGCTGGAGTTGTTGTATTATTGTATAATTGTATAGAAATAATTGTAGGAAATAGGCACTACATGCGTTATTTAGATGAAAGTATGAAAACTATGTAGTTACATAATATTTATAAACATACTTATATTAACTTATGCATGTATTTATGGTATATGATGTATACCTAATACTAATTGCTAACCGATACAATAATATTGTCATATTGACACACAATTTACTGTAAGGCCTATGACCAAATAATATCATAATATATTTTAAATATTGTATCTTATACATTATATTTTGTATTTTCTGCGTCCGTCCCACGTTGTACTACTTATAATAAAAATACATAAATTCATAATAAAAATAAGAATCATCCGAGAAGTTAGACTTAACAGATACAGAAGCCAATAGAAGGCCATAAGTATTTATCTCTGTGTTTTTCGTTAAATAGTGTAACTTGAGTGTTCGTGTATACTGTATAATATACAGAAGGGGTGAAAGGGTGAAAGAGCGAGAAGAGAGAGAAAGAGAGATAAAGAGAGAACAGTGTAGGTACAGTGCGCGAGATGAAAAGAAAAAGCACGATTGTCTAATGTAAACGAAAAAGCGATAAATTGTGTAAACACTTATTGGAATTTAGAATCGCGTTTGCAGCAAGTAGCTATACAGGATAGAGGAGTCAAGATAGAGAGTGGAAAGCTAAAACGTCGGGCTAGAAAAAATGCATCAAAAGCGGTACAGTGGCGGTGTACAACACACAGCAAGTCATCATCGTTATTTATCGCGTGTTACTATTATAGACATATGTTGTGTGTAAGCCGAGCAGCCGAAAAAAGGGTCGTAATAACACACTCACACACACACACACACACACACACACACAAACATAAAAGAGTCAGCATGCTATGACAGTGTACAATCTTCGACCATCACGATTTGTACTATAAATTGTATAATTTCAGCTCATACCTCATTTCTTATATTATTGTCATACGATTACAATTTGGCGTAATTCCGTATTGACGTATAAAATGGATTGGCGAAAAATAAAACAGTCTTGATCACAACAGTCTATATAGGCCTGGGGTGGTGAACCTATGGCACAGGTACCACATGTCCACGGTCCAATATTAACAGCAATCGAAAATATTTTTATTGTTTCATCGTCCAATCTTGCATATGTTCATTTGATGAAAAAAATCTTTTTATGCTCAATATTCGTGACAACATATTATGTAGTTGTGAATGTTTATTTTCCCAATCTGAAATGAACTGGATTAAATCAAAACAGAGGAATATAGGTAATACTCGTTGATTGGTTCAGCTAATTAAGATTGTATTTGAATAAAACATTTAAAACTAACAAAATACAAACCTGATATAAAAAAAAGGTAGTAATTTGTTTGAAAACCCCATCATTTCGAGAAAAAAATATTTATAGGCAGGGAAAATTTTTTAAAACTTTGGTTTAAAAATGTTGGAATATGACTAGAAAAAGTTCACCACCTCTCATCTAGGCCTTATAGGGTTGAGCACGTGTCCAGTTTAAAACGGGATTGTTCCATTTTTGATCATCAGTCATCACGTCCCATTGACCAGATTAGCTTCTGACGGTAGGTACGCTATGTAAGTATATTGTTTTTAGTCTTTTACAAAAAATACATGATACACACACGAGAGTAAGTTTACCGGCTGTAAAATATAAGGAAATAGTGATAAGCATAAGCATTTAGCAAATAATGAACAAAATAATACTCACTAAGCAAATTAGTTAAGACAATTTTTAAAAAAAATGTCGTAAATATCACGCTACAAAAA